CCAACACCTACACCATCCGTTGTAGTACCCTTTTCCGACTCTGTAATACTTTATCCAATGCAAACGCATCACTTCGTCGATCAGGATCATTATCATCTTCGTACCTACTTGCCCCATCCTCCTCCTCATCGCCATCACCATCACCATCACCATCACCATCCTCTTCTTCCTCTACCATAGTACTCTTATTTGGCACTATAGTATTACTCTGAAATGATTTTGGAAAAGGTGCGTTTTCAGGGATAGTCTCTCCATTGATCCCTAAACCCGGCCCAACAGCACCGCCGGCGCCGGTAGAAGATTGACTCAACGAGCCTTGTCGGGGAGGAAATCGGCTGCCTTGGTGGGGATTCGGTGGCAAGCCCCTTCCGCCAGGACCAGACCCAGGCCCGGGGCCATTGGGCAGGGGACCTCTGGATTGAGATCGGGGAGGCGGAGGGTAGCCATTTGGGCCATAGCCAAACGACCCATTGGAGCCCGGGCGTGGATCGTAGCCGCCGCGCAGGCTGGGTGCGGGACTTATTCTGCGACTTCGATCCACGCCTGCGAAGTGCGGGAAGCGCCGTTCTAGTTCACACAGCACGTCTGTAGCCAGGTCTCTGAATCTGGGATGTTGGAGAGAGGAAAGGACCTGACGGGCTTGGTTGCGCTTTTCGTGGAATTCCGCACGCGGAGGAAGGTAAGGGGGTACATCTGGTCGGGGTCCACCAGGCCGATTGGGAGAGACGGCCTGGCGACGGAGCAGTTCGTCATATACATCTGTGCTCAGATCCATGACCTGACTCGGGGAGAGTCTGAGGAGCTTGTCGCGGGCCTTGTTTGGTCGTGACGCTGTAAGTTCCTCCCGTCCCTGTCCATGCAAATATCGTTTCAGTACGTTGTAGTGCTTCAGCAGCAGGTCCTCCATCATCTTGTATCTCTTGCTTCTCTGATCGGAAAGGGTGCCGTCACTCGCTCTCGACTTGGATGTGATGGAACTGGGCGGCGAAGGGTGCTGGGAAATGTCCGATGGGCGGCGCGGAGCAAGGCCATTGGCACTTACAGGACCGCCGTTGGTGTTATTACTGGCATTAGGAGTAGGGTCTGGGGCATCTGGAGCATGCATCTGTAGTGGACTATAAGGTGGGCCACCTGAAGCGGACATTGGGGGTGAAGCTAGGGCACTCCGGCTGAGCGGTAGAGCGGGGAATTGCGGTGGATCGGACTTGCCACCCATCGAGTGGTACCGAGACCATTCGCTTCCATCGGTGGAAGAAACGGGTGGCATGGTCCCTGAGTGGCCAAGTATACCATGCCCAGAATCGTAATCAAGGAAGTAAAGAAAAAGGGAGAGAATGAAAGGAAATGGAGAATGAAAGGGGGAGAGAAGAGAAGCTAGCGGAGTTGTATAGTACGATCGATAGATGTCCCCTTGATTCACAGCATGAGGAACCCCGTTTTCTAGAAATATGCCAATGCCGCTAAGGTTTCCAGCGATGAGTTTCCCTTGATATCTCCCCCGTCGAAATTGTTCTGGACAACCGTTGGATCCGTTGGAACCTTTGGAACCATGTGCTAACTGAGTTTCAGATTCGGATACCGTTAGGAGGCAAGGGAGTGAAAGGTGCGTTCTGGGACGACAAGAGCGGCAGCGAGGGTTGGCGGCGTGGTAACAGGTTCATGGAGACGGAGTCTTAAGGGAATGAATGGCAGCAGCTTCATTAAATCGTTAGGAAAAACCCCCCTGTTTCGAACGCGCGGTGGTTGTGCGTGCGGAGAAGTTAAGCGGGCGATGTTATCTCTCCCCTGAAAACGGGCCCGTGTCCTCAGGGCAGAGCAGGTTTTCACGCCGTTACTGCTAGCTGCAGCACATGAGGCAACGCGAAAAGTTGGAGAAATGTGAGATAAGAATGAAAAGGATAAAACCAGAAAAGAAAAAAAAAAAAAAAGAATTCAAGAATAATAACAAGGACGATCTTCGCGATTCAAGCAGCACGGCGGTTGTTGGACCGTTGCAGATCGGCTACGGTAATTATTAATGGGAGGATGGCTGATGGCTGACGGCGCTAACACCAGACTTAGAGAGGAGGGTGAGGGACGAGGGAATGGGAGACGAGAGATGAGAGACGGGATCAAGCACCGCACCTCTTGATTCGTAGGCGGATAGATGGGCGAGAATCCGAAGAATCCAGGAGTTTGTTGGCGGATGTGCTGTTGGCGGCGAGGAGGATGAGATGGCAGTAGGGGGAAGAACTACGGTTAACGGCGCTATGGAACAGCAGCGCGGGACGAGGATATTAAAACTGTTGTTGTAATCTGTACTGCGTAAGATGAGAAAGTGTCATTATAGAGTTACTTTCTATTTATTACGCGGTAGGAAATATTACAGGCATTTGCTTTGGTGCAGATAATTAGCTAAAATATCCCATTCTATCCCTGTCTCTTAGAACCACGTCTAGAGGGGATGAAGAATCCAAAGAACTACGAACTAAGCACGATCCGGAGTCAGTGGCTGCGTGGTGGCTTCAGTTAAGGTCATTGTGCATAGTAGAGACTGCATGCTTTGTCGAAAAGAATACTATGTTTGTTATAATGATATACCTCTCCCTACTTTTAGACACGTTCAAGTACCTAGGTATGTTCATTCATCATGCCTTTCGCTCGGGCCAATATAGTTGGTTTGGGAT